AATTTCATGAAAAAATTTCATAAGATTAAACAATGAAATCGACGGATGAAGGTGGTTTGCACGGTTTACACAAATGAAGGCGGTTTTCATTTGATCACTCATATATATATATATAGGGTTGGGTTCATGTGAGACCAGTCTGTTTTTATGAGATCCGTGAGACCACCTTTTTACACTTGAAACTTTACAGCAAAAACATTATGAAGATAAAAAAATTTGAACCTTCACAGCAAACACAATGTGAAAGTTACCTTCACAGCATTTTACTGTAAAGTTTTAAGTGTAAAAAAGTGGTCTCACGGATCTCATGAAAACAAGTTGGTCTCACATGATCCCAAGTCTCTCTCTCTCTCTCTCTCTCTCTCTCTCTCTCTATATATATATATATATATAATATTATACATATATATTTACAAAATAAAAGTAGAGATATGAGTTGAAGCTTACCCCCAACTCTTCAAGCACTCCAAACGTCCCTCTAGACTCCCCCCCATTCAAGTATCCAAAAAGCCCCAACGCTTACTTTCATTTTGTGACATTTTCTCATTGATTTATGTAGAGTTTCATATTAAAATTATTAAAAACACACTAATAATTAAATAAATAACACCATGGAACTCAATCGAAATTAAGCGTTTGTTGTTTGGCTTTTGTCGGGTTCACACAAATTGTAATCCAATTAACACGTATGACCATTTAGTTTAGCTTTTAAATTAGATTAATTATACTTTTAAGATTTAGTCAACGTTTATACCCTTTTGATTGTGGTGTATGCCATTGAGTGTTGCTTTTCGTATGATCCATCATCTACATAAACCAACATAAGATTTGGGTTCATTTCCATAAGTTGTCAGTTCGAGGGTCTTATGGGATAAGTTGTCAGTTCAAAAACTACTGGAAAATGGCATTAACACGATTCGAACTTGGGTCTGTGATAGAATAAAAGTCTTGCAAACCAACTCTACCAAATAAAACTTGTTCTCATTGTAGTTTCAAATACATACGGTGACACACAACAGATTAAAACAATTGCACATTTCACAAACCTATTTTTTTAACCATCAACGGAGAAATAATACAATGACACGTGCCACTGTTGGCACCACTGTAGGTCCGTCCCTGAATTGAAACAACTTGTTTGTTATTTCACATAATATGGTTAAGAAGAAGTTCCTTGTTTTAGTTTTCGGTAAGTATGTAAGTTATTGTGATGAAACCAAAGGCTCTTTGGCTTAGCAGTATGTGAGTCATTGACCTCCTAGGAGGTCAGTGGTTCAAACCTCACCAAAGGTGAGGAGAGCATGTGAGTTTATTTGTTTTATTTGCCGTATATAAATATTATATTCTTTAAAACAAAGTTATTGTGATGAAAGAAAAAGTATATAGATGAACTTTTTTAAATGGATAGTACTACTAATAAAAAGGCTTTCGGTCTAATCCAATTGTCTAAGTAAGCGGCTTTTCTTTTAGCCTTTTTAATTGAAACCCTAGAAAAGGAAAGACGCTTTCCGTCATCGAGTTCAGTTCTAGGCCTCAATTTTTGTTTGCGCATGGGCAATTTCCCGTTCTGCCGTTGCCTACAAACGGCCGTGAACAAGGCATAGGTTTGAACATTACGTGAGTGTGGTTTGGTTTGTGTTATATTTGCAATGGAATTTTGATAAAGAGACATTGGGTCAGTTATGTTTAAGTAAATTCTAGAAAATACTTTGAAAAAACTTAAAACGATCGTCAAATCTCTAAAAATATATCATTAGTATATAAATACAAAAAAATGTACACAATTCTGTATAAACATACACACATTAGAACTCGATATAGATTGTGACAATCATATAAGTCACAATTTAATGACCAAAAATTAATTTTTCCTTAAACATAAAAAGTAATTCAACAAATTCACCAAAACGTGTCTGTGTTTGTGTTCCGGTTTCTTGTATGATCGATTTCCTTAGGATTGCTAATCGTCGTCTTCTTTTTCTTCCTTTTCTTCTTCGGCGTGTTCAGCGTCCGGGGGTGGATCATCAGCGGTTTCATCTTCACCTTCAGCTTCGTCTCCAGATGGTGGCTCAGATGGGTCGGGTGTAGGCGGGGCGCTTTTTCTGTTGTTCGCGGCCTCAAGGACATGAGAGTAATTTCCCTTTTCCATAAAGAGTCTAGCAAAATGATGTTTACAATAGAGGACACCATCAAGGGAAGCATATGATGAGTGTGTAAGGGGACACCCTCCATGAGCACATTTGAAGCAAGACTTGTGGAATGGCTCTCCTTCCATTGTCACCTATAATTACAAAAAGAGAAAAAAAAAAGAAAAAAGAAAAATAAAAATTATTTTGTGCATTAACAAGTTGTACTAACTAAAGGGACTTTGGTCTAGCGGTATGTGAGTCTTTGGCCTTCTAGAAGGTCAATGGTTCAAACCTCATCAAAAGTGAGGAGGGTGTGTAAGTTTATTTGTTCTACTTGTCGTATACAAATATTATATACTTAAAAAAAACAAGTTGTACCATGGGTGCATTAACAAGTTGTACCATGGTATGAATTAGTACAAAAAATTCATGGGTTTGTGGTTATTTTTACCAATGAAAAGTTCTATCAAGATTTTTTTGTGTTTTCAGAGGTTAAAACTGTCAAATTCAACATAAGGTACAACTTGTGATGCACAAAATACAAGTCATGATAACATGATTATAGTAGTCAAGTCTAAGGCAAAGTATGTAATGGTTCTACTTTAATATACAACTTTTAATGCATAACATATATACGAATCTTGGCTAACGGATATTTTTCAATCGTATAAAATAGTACAACTTTTAATGCACAATGTACCGATAAATACTATTTTGAATATCCCAAAAAAACTTGTACAAGAACTTTTGCATGGAGTTTTCCAATTGGTAATTTTCAAAGTAAAATGTTTCTCTTTAAAAACCAAGAAGAAATGCAAATTTTACCTATTCATGCATTCATACATACATGCATACATACATACATACATGCATGCATGTGCACATACATACATACATACATACATACATACATACATACATACATACATACATACATACATACAAGGAGAATTAAACGAGAATGTCAATTATTTAAGAGAATACTAAAACAGTTAAATCACGTGCAAAATCACATGTGATTTTAAATCAACGGTCAAACAAGGTGTGCAGGCGACTTTGGCCACGATTTTAGGTCGTGGGGCAAAGTCGCATGAATTACATGTGATTTTGTACGTGATGTTAATGTAAAATCACATGTGATTCGACCATTTTCTTATTCTCTTAAATATGTATTGTTCTCGTTTGAATCCGATTAAATATATATAATATACGTATGTGTATCATGTCAAAAGTAACATATAATACAATGTGTAATATACAAACCTTTTCGAGAGGATAAACAGTTTGGTTGCAAGTTCTACATTTATCTTGAGTTCCAGAGAAAAAAGACGATAATTTGTTGGGTGCCTTTGACTGCATCACAGAAATGATTTTATTGCAATAAATTAATTAAAATTAAACCAGATCGAAAAATATGGTATATCTCATTCGAAAATACAGTCTAGAATATAAATAATAACAATTAACAATATTATTTTTTCTCTAAAATAAATGTTTTTTTATTTTAATTTGTTTTAAAATAAGTGTCCATTTTCAAAAGTAAATACCTATTTTCTAATTTTATCCTTAATTATGCAATAGAAAAATTAATTACTTCATTTATAATTAAGGGGTTAAATGTTTTTTTTATTAACCTGGATATTCGACCCGCAATGTGAGCCGACTAATCCCAGGACGACCACCCGCTTCGCGGGTAGCCCAGAGTCACCGCATTTGAACTTCTGTGGTCATATGGGGATTTAATTTCTCATTGGATTTGAACATGAGACCTCCAAACACTTTTGACATTTGGAGTCTAAGCTTAAACCAATCAAGCACCACCCTTGTGGTTGAATGTATCATTACACATGTCTAAAGTTATCTGTTATTTTCATTATGGACATTTATTTTGGAACGAAAGGAATAATAATTTAAACCCCCCATGGAATAGATAAACGTACCGCCGGATTTTCTCTTTCTGATTTAGCTGCAAAAATTAAGGCAAAACGTTTAGCCCGAAAGAAGCATACAATATGTAGAATTAACAGTATTGTTTTAAGCGTATATTTTGTTTAATTCCAAGTTATAATATTTTTACAATTGAGAACAAGAACCAAAACTGAATTGGTTTATTTATTTTATTAAAATGAAACGACGTTGTTTGAAGTTTATATCTTCAGATAAAAGAATCTCCATGTTATATTCGTTTTAGACTGAACCAGTTCTAAATTGATACTGAGCTAGTTCAAGTATGTGTTGTTTCGATTCAGTTTCGTTGACACCCAATAAACATTAGTAGTCTTTTTATTACAAAATGAGTATGCTACGAATTTGGTCCTTGTGGTTTGTTAAATTATCCAATCAAAAACCACATGGATCAAATCGTAAAATCGATTTTGATTGGTTTTAAAGACAAAAAACAATCAATAAAAAGATAAAAATACCTCTCATTTAACGGAAATTCTTTAATGATCGTTAGAAGAAGGTACCAAATCCGGACGTTTTTACAAACCATGATGGTTATCTTGTAATTTCAAAACTGTAGGGATGAAAAGTGTTGTTTTCAACAAACAACAAGGACCAAATTTGTAGTTTAGTCTTAGAAAATAAAATATATAATCTATTCTATATTATAAATCATTGGATAAAAACTCTTAAAAACCATTTTTTATGTATGAAGTATTGTTTATTGATGCATATTACTTAAAATTCAAGATTACAAGTAAATTGTGTCTAAGAACAACTTATTAAAGTTTAATGTTTGAATTCGTGAAACTAACTGCAAATAAACATAATCAAATAGAGGATAAACATCTCATTTTAAATATAATAAATCTAAAATATAATTAGGATAATCATTAAATTTTAACAAAATACTTGATTATTATCTTTATAAAAAATTATATTATTACACCAAAGAAAAATGAATTAAAGAAATAGCTTTAATACACAAAAACACGAGAAAGTTAAAATAGTTAGTGCTATATTAATAACAATATTTTTTTTTCAATTTTTTTATGATGTATTTATATTTATATTTTATTCAAAAATAAAAACATTATTGCTTTCTCAAAATCATATTATAACATCAATTGGAAAAAAAAAATTGAACATTAAAATCGAGATGTATTTCGTTGCATTGTTCGATTACCTTTCTAGTTAAAAAAAATATAAAAACTTACATGTATGAAAGTTCTTGCTGAAATTCCCAGATTCCTTGAAAAGTTGTTCAAAATGAGTCTTGCAATAGAGGACTCCATCCATGGAGGAGTAGTTGCTCATCTGCCAAAATAATTTATATTTATTTAATTATAAAATTAATAATAATAAAATTTACCAAAAGGGTCTTTGACCTAGCGATATCATAATGTTTGATCTCTTAAGAGGTCAGGAGTTCAAACATCACCAATGTGAGGAGAGTATGTGAGTTTATTTGTTACATTTGCCGTATATAAATATTATATGCTTAAAAAAATCATAAATCGTTTAATGAACGAAAAACGGGCTTCTAAATAGACCTTAAAACGTATGTTTCTATGATAATAAACAATCAAACTAAAAAGGGTGTTCTCGAGAGAAAAAACGAGCAACCATGTTTTAGATCATTGCAAAACGAGACATTTTTACAAAGTATGCTAAAAAAGATCGATAGCTATTTGAAACCACCATGAGAATTATCTGTTTCAATGAAAAACGAGCTACAGTGGTTCTGAATCAATTTAAAAATGACTGATATCTAAGATAACGGAAAATTCAAGATTTCAACATTCCAAGCAATGATAGGTTACAAACAACTCTTCCTGTGATGATGGAGTTTTTGTTCGTATTTTGAATTAACACAAAAACAGAATGTTCCAACAACATAGAAATCGAAGCATTTCATGGAAATCCTAAAAGATTCCTTCGTTCTTTTTTTCTCTGACAGATACTCAGAACCTCATCTGGGTTTGAATCTTACCGAAAAGTCCGGTAAAGATAAGAAATTGTTGAAGAAACAAAAAGAACTGAATTATGCATTTCAAACCAGTATAAGAACGTGTTATATGTCATTGAAAAAAAAACGAGTGAAAAATGGCTTTAATGAACATTAACACAAATTTTTGCTCTGCTATGAAGAAACACGAGCCATAATCAGTATAAATCAACGTAAAATTAGTGGACCCGTATAATAACAGATTGAAAGAACCAGAAAAGAACAGAATCGAAGACACAAACCACAAGCGTTCCTTTGCAGTGGGTACATTTGAAGCATGATTTATGATACGTGACTCCATCTGCAGTTAATAAATCAACGAAATAAACCGTTTTATCACAGGCTTTGCATTTGTCTAAAGTTCCTGTGAATGACATCTTCTTCGCTTTCGGTTTTGTTCTGCGGTTTGCTTTCGATACCTTCGAAAAAACTTAACGAAAAGAACCCAACAAAAATGGGTTGCCAAACAATTAAAGATCCATCTCAAATAATGAATAAACTCTTTTCCTTTTGAACAGACAAAAACTAATACAAATCACACAAAATAGCTTTTGTTTTATCTTTTATAACGGTTTAACGGTTGGATTCTTACTGAATCGATAAAATACAGACACGTGATTGGAGTTTTAAATAAATTTGAGAAAAATAAGGATAATTTGTCTGATTTTGATGCAATGAAATTAATAACGGTGGGGTTTTTATTTCGGGTTATTTTCGTTCTGTTATTACTAGAAAAAGATTCTAGATTGATGTTTTGTTTGGAAAAATAAAAGTAATTCATAATCATCCGGTTATGATCGATCTTAACCAGCCCTTTGAAAGTATTTGCATCAGCTTCAGCCACTCGAATTTTTAAGTCTGTTAAAAATATAATTAATAAAATGAGTAATTTACGTTTTTCTCACTCATTTGGGTTGTTAAAAATTACGACTGTCTTCACGTGGTTGTGAAATTGTGGTTTTTGTCTTTATGGTTTACAATTCATTATTATTTTGTCCGTGACACCATTTGACTATAAGAAACAAAATATAGGGAAAAAATTTCAAATGGTAACACCGTTTGACTATAAGAAACAAATATACGGATTTTTTTTTCAAACGATGACACCATTTGACTAGGAAAATGACACTAACATGATTCGAACTTGGGTATGGGGTGGAATAAAAGTCTTGCAAACCAACTCTATCAAATAAAACATGTTCTTATCGTAGTTTCAAAATAATACTGTGGTACACAACAAATTAATACGGTTGCACCTTTCACGAATCTATTTTTTTTTTACCTTCAACGGAGGATAATACAGTAACACGTGCCACCGTATGCACCACTATAGGTCCATCCATGGTACGAGAGACAAAAACAGAAAACAATTGTAAACCACAGGAACCAAAACAGTAATAAATTATAAGAACGAAATAACAATTAATTGTAAACAATAAGGATGAAAACTATAGTTTTAAAAAGAATGAAACAGAAATAGCAATCTCTAATAAACCATATGGACCAAAAATATAATTTACTTTAACAAAAATCTATCTTCATACGAAAAGGCATTTGGTTTAATAGGCTGCATTTGGTACATGTGATAGGACAGGACGGGGAAAACCTACTGTCTCACGTTTGACGCAACATGAGACTAAACAAGAACTCACTGTCCCATTTGGCGCGACATAGGATAAAGACAAGAACTAGACAAATTGGAACAACATGAGACAAAAGAGGCTTTTTCTTGTTCCACCAAAATAGGTGGAACAAGATGAAACAAGAATGAGACATAAACTAAAATATTACTAATCGACCGTAGTTTGATATATAACCTTAATATGATATTTGTTTTAATGATCATTACTGCTAGTTTTGGTCGTCACCACCACTGGCGGCTACCTCCACCTCCTCTTCCACTACAACAACATCCTCCGACGCCTCCACAACCACCGTCCACAAAGTCCATCGCCACCTCCACCATAGTCGATCACCGACTACCACCGTCCATTGCCAACACCTCTGTCGCCGTTCGCCACCTCCAACTCTTCTACTACAACAACCTCCTTCACCACCGTCCGTTGCCAACTTTACAACCACAATCGGCCACCGACCACCACCACCCATTACCACCAACACTACCACCGTTGGCCACCTCCAAATCCTCCTATATCGCAACAACTTCCTCCTATTGGTCACCTACCACCACTGTCCATTGTCACCTTTACAACCACCGTCCATTACCACCACCACCACCACCGTTAGCCACCTCCAACTCCTCCTCTACTGCAACAACCTCATCCGCGACCTCCACAACCACCATCAGCCACCACCATTCATTGTCACCTCACCTCCACTATAACCATCACCACCACTATCTTCACTACATCAGCCACAATTACCTCCTCCACCGTTGTCAACTGTCACCACCACCACCACAATCCACCATCTTCATTTCATCTATAACCACCGTAGTCCACAAACCACCATTGCCTCTACCTCCATAACCACCGTCGGCCACTGTCAATTGCCACCACTACCATAAGCCATCACCACCTCCACACCATCACTACTACCATCAATTATATCAAATTTTTCATTCAAATTTGGTACCATTATATATGTATGTATTTATTTATATGAAAATTTACAAATATTTATAGATTAAATTCTTTAATTGTTTATATTATTTGTGTTAATTAGAACTATTATATAATATTTAAAATCATCAAATAACTTTTAGGGGTAGCTTGTCTAGTTCTGTCTCGTCCAGTATTAGTCGTACCAAACACCAGACATACTCTTGTTCTGTCCAGTCCTGTACTGTCCAATCAGTCCTACCCTCTTGTCTTGTCCAGTTCTACCATGTATAGTCCTATTCAATCATGTCTGTATATCAAACGTTACCTAAATGAGATGCAAGTTCATATCAATAAACATGTCATTTATGTGATCATTATGACAGTTCAAAAATAAATTGTATAATAATAATAAATAAAAATAGATATTTGATTAAAGTTTGTACATTTGCTTTAAAAGATCAATTTTTTTGTAATAACTTGTTAACTCCTGAATATTTGTTTTTCGGCTTTTAATTGGGTTTTTTTTTCTTCTTATATTCAATAACATAAAAATTGGGTTTTTATCTTATGACCTTTGTTTTAAAAATAAATTATGATTAAGGGGCTGTTTACCAAACATTTATCTGGTAAGTAATTACCGGTAAAATTTAACACTACCACATATTTACCGGGTAAGACTTCAGTCTACAAAAACGGCATCGTATGCAACAGTTTATCCGATAAACGTTTACCGTGGTAAGAGTCGTCGATCCCACTTACCGGGTAAGACTCTTGGTCTTTGTCTCGCACTTACCAAACAAGATTTTTGGTCATTATCATATTCATCTGGTAAGATAACGTGACTTGGTAAACGTTTACCTAAGTAAGCGTTTGGTAAACAGCCCCTAAGACAAATATGCAAGAATGGAACCCAAATATTTTCCTTGAAAATACAAACAACTAACCAATTGAACCTTATGATTTTGTTAAAGAAAATCATATCATTTTCTTTATGGTCCAATGATGCAAACGCTTGAAAAAGATTATGGATCTGTATCTGACGACAGTAAGGACCAGCATGATAGTATCAGTCTGGTTTCAGGCTCTAATACCATTTATAACATCTCAAGCCAACTATACCAGACTTTATCTGTTTTATCCACACATCTGGATTCACGTTTTTAAAAACACGTCTGATAAAGTAGGTATCAAGTTCCCTATAAGACAACATTTGTTCATTTCCCAACCAATGGTAAATTTTGAATCTTATTAGACATTATTGATTGTTTATAATCCATGACCACGAGCGTTTTTAAAACCATGTTATGAATCTTACAAATTAGTCAGGTCAAGAAGTCATTACTTTTATATCAGAATGACTTCTTGACAGAAAAAGAATTCCCATAACAAACTTATGGGAGAATGAACTCATTATATTATATAAAATCAAACAGTTTCTTTTATGTTCAATCTCATTAATACTGCTTAATAGCTCTGACCAATTTGTTTCTTCCCAACCATCCGATTGGTAGCTGAAAGCAATAAACGCTTGCCACCGTTACCACGAGGTTAAATATACCATCAAACTTATCATTTTCGAGCAAAAACTTATTCACATATCTACTATCCCACGATGTAAATACATCACTCGAGACCGCCTCGAAAGTTGCACGAAAGATCAAACGATCGTCTAATCACGGTGGCAAAACGACTTGTTGGCACAAAACGAGATCTGATATAGTCTTCCCATGCCTGTCTATTCTTCGAGAACAATTAACACCGCCATCTAGAATGTTCCTCACGACAACATTTAATGAACGGATTCCTCGAACCTCGTAAACCTCGACATTAACATTTTCTTCGACCCACTTGTTTCGTGTTTCCATATCATCAGGGTTAGGAAACGATGATTGGGTCAAAAGAGGCGACACGACTCTTTTGACCCAATCTGGTGTTATGACGATCTTCAGACGCTCGATGTCCGGCGGGAAATGAGGGATGATGGAGAAGTTTATGTCGTTACCTTTGTCTCCAGCTCGACTATGGCCTACGTTGTAGAGACAGACCTTTTGGCCCGATGGAGCAGGAGAGAGGTGAATCTCGGGAGATAAAAACCCCTCGAGATTATCAGATGGCGTTTCTGGATGGACTACGTTGATTTGATCCTTCGAGTTTGTTGGTTGGTTTCGCTTTGCGGAGATTCTCCAGTAAATATGTTCACGCCCAACCTGAAAAACGAAACAAAACACGCATTGTGGTTGACTTCCGTAAGTAACCTACGGTGGTTGCTTTAGCGCAAAGTTTGGTCCATGCAAACGACCTAACAATTACACAGAAATAACGGTTCGACACAGTTTTAGAAATGTGTAATTATTACAGAAATAAGTATTCACTATACAAAGAAAAAAATCGAGATAGAGAATGCTCCCTCCGTCTCAAAGTAAATGTCCACAATGGAAAGGGATACAATTTAAAAAATGTGTAATTATTACACGTATTAATTAAGTAAATGACAATTTTACTCTTAATAATAAAAGGAGCAATGAATTTTTCTATCTCATAATTAAGGGTAGAATTAAGGGTAGAATTGGAAAATAGATCCTCAATTTGAATGTAAACATTTTTTTTAGGACAGACTAAAACAAGAAATGAGCTCACGAACGGAGTACTAAGGAAAACTGATCTTCCAAACCCTAAATCAGATAAGAGTATTTTTCGAGGGCGTTTGGAAGTTCTATTTCAAAGTAATTATTGCGACATTTAAAAATTAGCCTTAGACGAAAAAGAATTATATGAAATAACACATGATGCACAGGTTCTCACATTTATCCCAATTTTGAGGTTCTCATTTGATTAGTCCCCCCCTCTCTATATATAGATGTGTGTGTGTATATGTATATTATATATATATATATATATAGAGAGAGAGAGAGAGGAAAACATGAGTTGCAAACCTGTTTTGTTTTCTGTTGTGAACTGGGGGGGCAAGGGATAGCGCATACATGTCCTCATTCATCATGAATAATGAACTCGAATATTTTACAAAATTCATAACGGAATAATGCACCATTCATGATGAATATCCCGTGAATGTCTGGGAGACTTGGCGCACTCTCCTTGGTCCCCCGGTTCACAATGAAATTTAAGTTTGCATTTGAACATGCCCCTATAAACATACAGAGTCAGATTTAGGGGAAAACCGCGAAAAATGAAAAACTGAGGAACACCCTAGTAACCATTCATCTATACGGTGTGCACATGTGAATACAAGTATTGTAAGTAACTTTTAAGTTTTTACGATATGCACGTGTGCATACAAGTAATTTGTAAGTAATTTTTCCTTTATACACATGTGCATAACATGTACATGTGCATAGAAACCATGAAACAACTTTAGTTACTTGTATTCCCATATGCATATAGATGACTTTCATTTTTTTGGGGCTTTCCCCTGAACCTCACTCTACATACACACACACACACACATATATATGGGCATAATCAAATGAGAACCTCAAACATTGTGATAATCGTGTGTGTGTATATATATACACACACACGATAAGAAAATGGAAGAGGGCCATACCAATGCTTTATGAAGAATGATCTCTTTCTTGCATCCTGTGCTGCATTTCATAATAGAAGAGTAAGCTAATCAGTGTGAGAATATGCAATGCAGCAGAAGTTATTTGCAATAGAAGATGATTAAGGTCCTAATGATTTAGATCAATTTAATTTTTTTATTTTGGTATGTGATTATGGATCCCATTAATATGGAGTGAGAAGAGGATGAAGTGTAAAAACGAAGACAGGTTGGAAAAAATAAAAGAATGGGAAGTAGTATAAATAAATGACATCTATTATACACAAGCAAAGAAATGTCAAATGAAACAAAAGAGACTGTCTACCATCGACATTAGAATGACATAGACCAAGATTAAGGAAATGTTTACTATGACGCCCCACGTCCTTATATATTGGGTGCCGTTACTTTACATGATAAAACTATTAAATCTTGAATCAGAACTTGAAATTCAGCTTTATTTATAACATATCTTGAAATTATATCAAAGAAGAGATTACTTAGCGGAAACGTGACCATAGCTTGTATTACAACAAAACTTGCTTATTGAYTAAMACCATACTACTTTATGCAAATCCTCCTTACTTCTTTCCTGAGATACATACATGAGATATATAAGCTATAAGCTTAGTGAGTATTTATGGTTTCATGAATGAGAAATTTTCATGATATTTTGTGAATGATAATTCATTAAAGCTCTTGACCATGTATAAAAAATATTCTTTATTATCATGCATAAACATCATAAAATACTATTCTTTATCATGCACAAAACATTCTTTTGAGATCTCACTTGTCACATGCATGTATACCATACTTGTCTTGAGGTTTGCTAACCCTCGGGTCCATAAAAGGCTGCCCTATAAGGTCCGTTTGCAAGACGTCCCTTCTTGTAATATCCCGTATGTTGGATATTATGGTTATACGTAACATGTAAAAAATTTCATGCCTTGTGTAACACATATGATAACATGTAAATGATTTTCATGTCTTGTGTGTATACTTGTATTAGAACATGTCATCATGCATATCTTGAATATGTATGTGTACAATATTTTCATGTAAAACAAGCATGCCAACATAACTTGTAATGCATAAAATACGTTTATATATAGCATGCATGTATCTCATAAATCACATAAGTACTCACTTTGATTTTGCCTACTTTTTCCTTTGATTCCTTTCTTCAAGCTTATATATATATATATATATATATAGAGAGAGAGAGAGAGAGAGAGAGAGATTTCTTATTTTTGGTATCCACAAATAGTGACCCTTCAATCCCTATTTATAGATAAATTCATTGCATTAACTACTTGTTCTTTTTGCTCTCAAGATTGTACTCTTATGAGAGTTTAACACCTCATCTATAAATATAAGAGAATCTTGACAACTCATTTCATAAGGATAAGATAATATAGACAATAAGGATAAGAGAATCTAGACAACTCATCTCTAAGGATAAGAGAATCTAAACAACTCATGCTTCTAGTACTCCTTGTCATGCTTCCTAAACTTGTCTTGTAATCAATAGTCTTGCCAACTCGTATTTTTAGCTTAACAACTCATCACTAGATTGCTTAGTCATGCTTACTAGACTTGTCAACACACTTCTAGCCTTAACAACTTAACACTAGCTTGTTTAGTCTTATAAATAAAATGTTTCACTAAATGTAACAGCTACTGGAGTACTTGAATTACTTATAAATATTTGCATTTAAGGCTTAAAAATTGAGATTTATCAAATAAAGAAACTAGGGTGTTACATTTACCAAACGCTTATCGAGTGGGGTGGGGGTGGTTAGGGGAGGAGTAGGGTAGGGTGGGGGTTGTTGATGATTGGGCATGGTAGTGAGGTGGTGGGATCATGTGAAACCACTATTTGGGATAAAAGATGAAGATTTGGTGGGTGCGGTAGGGGGCAGGAGTAGGGGAGGGGGAGGTTGGGTGGAGGGGTGGGGTTGGGGTGGATGTTAGTGGGTGGTGGATGGTGGTGCTTAGTGGTGGTGCTTGGGGTTGGTGGGAGGCGGTAAGCGCTTACCAACATGAGTCACCACCCTCACTTACCTTATTGAGTAACATTTCTAGCCATCAAAATGGATTGTTGGTGATTGTCTTTTACCTGGTAAGCGCTTAATAGGTAAGAGTCTTTTCGCTCACTTACCGGGTAAGATTTTTGGTCCTTGCTATGACTCTTACCAGGTAAGATTCATGGTCCTTGCCATGCTCACTCGGTAAGGTAAATGGCACTCGGTATCTACAGCATAAGGCTCCTTTTCTTGAAAGGATTATAAGACATGAGTTGGGATCTAGTGAGAACAAATGAGTTTGGCGAGAATGGTAAGAACACTTTTGAGCCTTTCGATGATTTTGTTTATACGGTCGCTCACAAAAACACATACCTTCATCCACTTTCATCTACCTTCACCACCTTCATCCACTTTCACTTTCACCTATTTTTACATACCTTTAGTCACCATCAGATGCCTGAATTTGTTAATGTTTCCATCATGATGATACAAGTAGGTATGCGAAGGTAGATGAATGTGTGTGAATGCAGTTAGATGAAGGTCCAGTGTTCTCAATGTGCTCACCAAAAAAATTGTTCTCACCGGAACCCAACCCTTGGTTGTGTTTCTTACATGGGACTTGACTGGACAATTATATATGTATGTATTTATTTATATGAATTGCATAAAAATGTTCATAAATTAAATTATTTAAAATATTTATTTGACAGGTGTTATCTATGACTATTATATGATATATAAAATCATCAAACAACTTTTTGAAAGGCAATTTGTCTAGTCCTGTCTTCTCCGGTTCTAATCATACCAAACACTAGACAAACATGTTGTCCAGTCCTCTCCAGTTCCAATTGTACCAAACACCAAACAAACAATTTGTCCTGTCCTCTCGAGTTCTATTCGTACCAAACACCAGACAAACAACTTGTCCAGTCCTCTCCAGTTCTAATCGTACCAAACACCAGACAAACAACTTGTCTAGTCCCCTTCAGTTCTAACTGTACAAGACAGCAGACAAACAACTTGTCCAATCCAGTACCAAACGCTACGTTATAGACTTGTACGAAGTCTTTCCCTTGCATATTTGCAAAGAGGCCGTTTCCATTTCTCAAACTTATGACCTTCTAGTCACAACGAGACTTACCGGCTATTCAGTGTTCGCCCCTAACATACTAAAATAAAAATTAGAAGTTCGTGAAAAACACAAACCACTACGATTGTTCAATACCCTTTTGGTTAATTAACAAAGATTAACAGAAATGATATGGGATATAGACCTGATACCACCACCACCAGCTGGTCCGTTTGTGTACAAAGCCATGAACTCTTTCGTGAACCCAATGGCTTGTTTCTCTTGCTCGAATAACCCATCCATTCTCAACCGAATATCTTCACAAGCCCTCGGGATAGAGGTGATATTGTCAACGTTAAATGCCTTGAGGCTGTCTACTCCAATTATATACGACACTATCCGGCTACTAGTACCAGGATGTACTTCTTCCATCCATGACCTTACCTAGCAAAATAATAATATAGGATTGCATCATGGTTGAGTCACATAAGCCATGAGACCACATTCGTCACACGAATGATCGTGTGAGAATAGGAGTTAAGATGCGAAGTGTAAGAAGGCATTTGGACCCTTGATCACTTTTAATTAGTGTTGACCTAATGGCTCAGATTAAGTCCCAAAATAACGCACAAATTAGCTTAGAAGGGTATTTTCAATTGATCTTCAATTAGGATTAATCCAAGGGTGGAGATCCCTTCTTACCCTTCTCACGATAACTACTATTCTTACCGGAAACCAACTCATATTCGTCATCCATTCAAATATATAACCCAGACCAAACAGTATATTCCACCCGGATGTAGGGTCTGGGAGGGGTAAATGTACGCAGATCTTACCCCTGTCTCAGGAGACAGAGAGGTTGTTTCCAAAAGTACCCCTAGCTTGAGGAAAGGTTTACTAAATCATTGCATACAATATCATTACCAAAAATTCAGCAGCTTTAGCTCGTTCGACACATTTGTATCCCCCATAGGAAATCTCCCCCCATCCTTTCCATCCATAGTCCTTAAGAAGCAGACAAGTTAGAGTTGAAAGAAAACATGAAATAAACAAGATTTTAGTCAACCATTTGTCATACACCCATCTATGGGGTGGTGTAGGGCATGCATAAACATGGTGAGCGATCTATGGGAGAGTGCTAGCCTCTCGAATGCTAGAGTTTACCTTGTTTTCCATCTAAGTAATCATCTGATTAGTCTGTTTTCATCTTCATTATCTGTTCACTACTGTTTTGGATTCCAACTAAGGGCCCGTTTGGTTCAGCGGAATGTTTTTGAGGGATTTGGATTTTGTGGAAGGATTTGGAATTGGAAAGATTTAGAATTAGAAAGGATTTGGAATCTTTTGTGTGTTTAATTTGTAGGATTTGGATT